ATCCAGACCGGAGGAGTGAAGACTGGAGGACAACTGCTGAGGTTGAAGCCCCTCGCGGCGCTTCTTCTGGAGGCTCTCTTCTCGACGGTTCTTCCTGATCTCCACCATGTTGTCCTCCCTCCGACGCCGCCCCTCCTCCGCGTCCACAGCCACCTTGTACCTGTTCTGGCTGACCTCCGCCCTCGCGTTCGGCCTCAACGACATATTTTCAATTCAAATCAAGAATCGGAAGCCCTAGGAGAGAGAGATAGGGAAAGCTGCTACACGGAAGAGTTGCGAATGGGAGATGTAGAGCTGCTACACGGAAGAGGACGAGGATAAAGGTTGCGAATGGGAGATGCAGAGGTGAAGATGCTACACGGAAAAAGACGAGGAGGAAGGTTACGAAGGGGAGATGCAGAGGTGAAGAGGCTACACGGAAGAAGATGAGGAGGGAGGTTGCAAAGGTGTTCACAGCGGCTGAGAAGAAGAGAAATAGTTTTTAGGGTTTGTTATTTGATTTTGATGCTGTAAATTTTGAAAAAGACAAGGGGCATTTTTGTCCTAAAATGTTAAAGTTTTCTGTCCCACGGACGTGGAACAACCCGTTCCAGGGGTGGGAGGTGGAACCAAAAATCATGAAAAACTTGTCCCGTGGAACGCCTCGTCCCACTCATTTTAGGCGTACCAAACGCGGAACGGAACGCCTCGTTCCACCCTGTTCCGTCCCGTCCCGCGTACCAAACGCGCCCTATGCACAACTTTTTGACTTTTCACATAACTCTTGTTAATTTCTGTTATTAGATCAATTTTTATGATTCAATGGTCAAAAATTTAAAAAGTATAAGAAAAAAAATGTATGAATATCACACTAGCATGTCGGGTGATGAAAGAAAAAGAAACAAATAGTGAGAGAGTCCAACTACGAAGTAAAAAGTGGAAGCTGAGTTGTGCAGTGTTTGTGTGTATGGCCAGGGCCCATGACAGTTGAGAGAACCGACCTAAATACCATTTTCTTGTGTAAATTCCTCCTGGTTTCGGTTCCTCGTCACTTCTAGTCAGTCCAATTGTCCAAGTCCAACTCCCGTTGCCTCTTCCTGCTTCATCTCCTTTATGCTCCTTTTTTAGAGTTTACTTTATTTTTCACTAACAAGGAAAATATAGCAACATGTTATCCGCCATGAACAAATTGCAAATTACACACACTGAGGGAGAGAGAGCATCATAATTAATTAGACAGCACAATCCCAACACCGTCTTTAACCCCATTTCCAATCAATCCAAGTGCTCCACTGCTACCAGTACCACTCCTCTTCCTCCTCCACTTTACCCCGTTCTTCTTCCATTACCTCCGCCATGTCTTCCAAGCCCAAGTAAGTCTACTCTCTCTCTCTGAGACTGAGATGGAGATCTGATTTTAGATTTTGTGTTTTCGGATTTGATGTATGTCCTTTTCCATTTCGGATTTTCTTCTCCATTTCCCGATTAGTGCGCGCCACGGATCTGCTTTTATCATCTCCACTACCACTACATCATTTTTCTCCTCTTCTCTTCAACTCAAAATCTAATATTTGCTTGTAACCCAACAAAAATACTCTGATATTTGCTCCAATTTTCAACCTTTTACTTTCGTTGGTTCCAAATTGGTTGGTTCTTTTTGCACTTGGCTTGTACTTATTTTTGGATCTGTTGTTGAACAACTCATGCCATATTTTCACATCTACATTTTTTTCTGTCTGTCTCTGTGTTTTTGTGTGTGTGTTGGTTATAAATTTCCAAATTTTGTGGCTGATCCATCTATTTTTTTATTGGTTATGTTTGCATTGTTTTGTTTGATGTTCAGTAATATGGTTTCTTCTTGTTGATATACTTGAACAGATCTACTGTATCTGATACTCCTAAAAAAGCATCACCAGCAGCAACCCCTCCACCTCGACTTAGTAAACTCGGCCGGGGAGTTGCTAAATCCGAATCCGATTCACCTTCACCTTTGCAAAATTCTCGCCTTTCAGTTGATCGCTCCCCGCGCTCTGTCAAATCCAAGCCCGCCCTTGAGCGTCGGTCACCCAAGATCACTACCCCCACCTCCACCCCCCCCTGAAGTGAGTTTTACTTTTACCAACTACACCTACTTGCAGGCTTCTATTTTCTTTTTCCTTACTACATTTCATTTAGTTCCTTTGAACTTAATACAGCAAACGTAAGGGATGAAACCAGTTGTTATTTGTGTATTTTGATCCACATTGTTGCTTTATATTGTTTTCAGAAACAACCGACACGGGTTGCAAAGGGATCAGAGATACAGGCTCAATTAGGTCTTGTTCAGGAAGATCTGAAGAAGGCAAAGGAGCAGATAATTTTGATTGAGAAAGAGAAGGCAAAAGCAATTGACGAATTGAAAGAAGCGCAGAAAGTGGCCGATGAGGCACATGAGAAACTCAGAGAGGCTTTGGTGGCTCAAAAGCGAGCCGAGGACAATTCTGAAATTGAGAAGTTTCGCGCTGTTGAGTTGGAGCAGGCAGGAATCGAAGCATCCCAAAAGAAGGAAGAGGAATGGGTGAAAGAGCTTGAAGCTGTGAGGAACCAACATGCTCTGGATGTGTCCACTCTACTCTCTACCACTCAGGAACTTCAAAGGGTGAAGCAAGAACTGACCATGACCTGTGATGCCAAAAACCAGGCACTGACTCATGCTGATGATGCAACCAAGATTGCCGAGATCCATGCCAATAAGGTGGAGATTCTTTTAGCTGAGTTGGCTCAGTTAAGGGCATTACTAGATGCAAAGCTTGAAACAGAGGCTAGCGAGAGCAACAAGATGGTGGTAAGCCTTAAATCGGAGGTAGATTCTCTCAAACAAGAGCTTGATAAAGCAAAAGGTTACAAGGAGAGATTAATAGAGAAAGAGGCTTCCATTGAACAGCTCAACGTTGAGCTAGAATCAGCCAAGATGGCTGAATCTTATGCACGTAGTGTAGTTGAGGAGTGGAAAATTAGGGTTGAGGAATTAGAGATGCAGGTTGAAGAAGCAAATAAGTTGGAGAGGTCTGCATCAGAGTCTTTAGATTCAGTCATGAAACAACTCGAGGGAAACAATGAGTTGTTGCATGATGCAGAATCTGAAATTTCTGCTCTTAAAGGGAAGGTCAGCTTGCTGGAAATTACAATTGGAAGACATAGAGGGGATCTTGAGGACTCAGAACTTTGTCTTGAGATGGCCAAAAGAGAAAATTATGAAATGGCGAAAATGGTTGAGTCGCTTAAGTCTGAGCTTGAAACTCTGAAGGAGGAGAAAATGCAGGCTTTAAGCAATAAGAAGCTTGCCTCATCCAGTATTCAAACCCTATTAGAAGAGAAAAACAAACTCATAAATGAGTTGGAAAATTCTAGGGATGAAGAAGAGAAGAGCAAGAAAGCAATGGAAAGCTTAGCTTCCGCCTTACATGAAGTCTCCGCAGAAGCAAGAGAAGCCAAAGAAAAGCTGCTGTCTAATCAAGCTGAGCTTGAGAGTAACAAGTCGCAGATAGAAGACCTGAAAATGGTCTTGAAAGCAACCAACGAAAAGTATGAAGGCATGCTTGATGATGCAAAACACGAAGTCTATCTTGTTACAAGTAACCTTGAACAATGCAAGACTGAATTCCAAAACGCAAAGGCCGACTGGGAGAAGAGAGAACTTCACCTGGCGAATTGGGTGAAACATTCAGAAGAAGAAAACTCTTTGAAGGAAAAAGAAATAAGCAGGCTGCAAAATTTGCTCACAAAATCCAATGAAGAAGCTTGTGCTTTGAAGGACGAAGAAGCCCAGTTGAAAGAGAGTCTGAACGAAGTTGAATCTGAAGTGATCTATTTGCAGGAAGCTCTTGCAGAAGCAAAGGCCGAGAACATGAAATTAAAGGAAAGCATATTGGACAAAGAAAATGAGTTCCAGTGTATTGTTCACGAAAACGATGAACTCCAAGACAAGGAGGCAGCTTCTCTTAAAAAGGTTGGGGAATTGTCTAGGTTACTGGAAGAAGCTGTAGCGAAGAAGCGAGCCAAGGAAAATGGTGAGCTGACAGATAGTGAGAAAGACTATGATTTGCTTCCAAAGGTAGTTGAATTCTCTGAAGAGAATGGGCATGGAGGAGAAGAGAAACAGAAAATGGACCTTGCACCAAGTCAAGGTGAGGAGCACAAGAAGGAAAGCTTATGGGAAGAGAATAATAATGTTGTCATTAATGGCAAGGCTGAGGAAATGGACTACGCTAAAAGTGATAATGTGAAGGGCAAACCAAAAGAAGATGAGAGCAAAGAGAAGGAAGATGAATCAGTAGAGGTGGAGTATAAGATGTGGGAGAGCTGCAAGATTGAAAAGAAGGAATTCTCGCTGGAGAGGGAACAAGAGCAGGAATCGTTTGAAGAGGAAGTGGAGTCAAAGGTGGGGGGTGGCGAGGGGTTTGATGAGATAAATGGAGTAACTTCAACGGAATGTGTGGACGAAAGCAGGACCTCTCCATCAAAGCAACAGAAGAAGAAGAAGCCTTTACTCCGCAAGTTCGGAAGCCTACTGAAGAAGAAGGGCACAAGCAACAACCAGAAGTAGAGAAGGTTGTTGCATGAATTGTGCTCAGCTAGAAGGCAGAAGGCAGGTTAATTCACTGGAAATTGTTTCATGGGTTTGATTTTCATTTTTTGGTGCTGATTTTCAGAATAGGTTAAGAATGAAAAAGTTTGTATTATGTTTAGGGTTTTTTATTTTTAATATTTGATTTCCGATCTGGGCAGTATCTTGTATGTGATGGGACTTTCATTTGGTTATTCCTTCTCCCTTCTACAATCTTACATAGATATTGTGGAAGGAGTGGTAACATGAACTTGTATCTTGATGTGCTTTCATCTGTTTCAAATGGAGATATATAAAAAAAACATAAATATATCATTGTTATTTGTTATTTGTCCCAAGGAGTGGTGTGGACATGAACTTGTATCTTTTGCTTTGATCAATCACCCCTCCGTATTTGATATTATTGAACTCCTGGATTGGTGGAATGGCTTTGTGCACGGGTATGCTTTCAGCTTCGGGTTACACATTCTACTAAATGCAACTGGGTTACTCTTTCATTTTCGGTGCCTAGGAAATAGAGTACTTAAAAAGTTGTTTGACCAGTGGTTTCTACATTTCCTCGAATTCAATCAGTTATTCTGTTGATATCGCAGCTATCACTTGGTGGTTTTCAGTTTGGATGATATTGGTTGTCTAAGCATGCTTTTTATGGTATATGTAATTTGCAGTTGAAGAAGCCTTCCCATCCCTGTCGTGGTATCCCAACTGCCATCAATTGCCTTGCAGCCTTACTAAAGGAACCTTAAATTTTCCTTTGTTCAGTTAGATGGGTGAGGTTGCTTGTTCCCTTAATTTCTCCGGCTTCCACCCAACAATCTATTTAGGTGACTCTTAGTTTCTTGACTTTGTGAAATTTTTATTGACAATATATTTTGTCTCAAACAGCTTTTTTATGAAACATGTTTATGCATCTAGCTACTTCTAGAACTCTTCCAAGAATCATAGAAGTTGTCAAGAATTCCACAAAGGAGAAGGTGAGGATCTTGACTTTTGGGATGCTATATTGTTTCCTTCGAGATTAACATGTGTAAATTAATTTGTGTATACTTGTCCATGTTAAACTTATCCTTGTAACAGTGGAGTACATGTAAATTCATCTTTTATTTGTAATATGGGTTGGTTATTCATGGTAGGTTGTCAGAGTTGTTGTTTTGACCCTGAGGAACTTGCTCTCAAAAGGGACATTTGGCGCTCAAATGGTGGACCTTGGACTGCCACAAATCATTCAGAATTTGAAAGCACAAGCATGGAGTGAGGAGGTGGGAAACCAATAGGCTGTATGCCTCTTTTGATAGTTTGTATTTTATGTGGTCGGACTGGAAGTAAGGCATTTAAGCTAACTTAGTATAACAAGTTAAATGAAAGGAACCAACTAGCTCATGGAGCTATTGTTGTTCTTGTACATGCGTTCTTTTAAACCATAAATCATTGGTGTAGTTTCCCTAATGAAATGAAGCTTCTTGTGGGATCTCCTGGAGGGATTAAATCAACTGGAAGAGGGTCTGAAGTAGATCATCCAGAAAGTGTTGGTGAAAGTAACTTGGTGGTAGCTACTCAAGGTGGTTCTTGTGTTTTGTTTGTGATTTCCTGGATAGCTCTCTTTTTCCAAGACAGTGTTGGCTTCCATTCCATGGAAAAGTGGTAGTAAATTGGGTCCATTTACTTGGTTATGAAGGCAGTATTAAATTATATGGTGAAAGTAATTGCAGATCCCAATGCTGTTGACTCTTGAGTAATCTTTTGAATAAGCTTGTGGCTTCCGTAGTACTAATAATGCATGACCTTGTCTTGCAGATTCTAAGAGTCCTGATTACTATCTTGGATACATCCAGTGATCCTAGGGCATTGGCCGTAGCCTGCTTTGATATCTCAGTGTTTGTCCAGCAGCGTCCGGCTGGAAGTAGCATAGGGACGGACCTCAAGGCCAAGGAACGTGTGATAAAACTGATGAATCATGAGAGTGCCGAGGTCACCAAAAATGCACTGCTATGTATCCAAAGGCTTTTCCTAGGTGCCAGGTATGCTAGCGTTTTGCAGGCTTATAGATGCATTCCTTTGAATGGCGGAGCGGAGCAATGGGGCAGCGTTTTTTAGTCTAAATGTTATTGTCCAAAAGAGATGTTTATGAAGGAAGGGCAGGGGTGCTGCTGTCATAGTAGTAGTGGTATACATATTTATGTGTTTGAGTAATGCATTTCGTAGGGCTGTTTGGTTATTAGAAAAGCCACTTGTTGCTGTGTTTTTTATGCTTTCTTGGTTGGTGTAGGTACTGAGCTAGAGTAAAAAAAAAATTTATCTGTAATTCTGTTAGGATGATAAAATAAATTATGTGTATTCAGTGCGATCCATATTTGTTGTCAAGATTTTACATTTATCGTAATGCGTACACTCACTGGACTATGTCTTGTATTGTATAGTACATAGTAGCTTAATTTTGCGTAATTGTAATGGGATTTCTTTTTAATGAAAATATTAAAACGATGGCTGGGACGCTTGGCCAAGTGGCCGGCTATGCGTTCTTCCTTGGTTGGATGGAAGACTTGGATTTTGTCATGAGTGCATTTTTGCCCTACCACTATAAAGTGGTGGTGATATCAACCCTTAGATTTATTTTAAATTTTAAGATTTATGTAACAAATAAATTAAATCAAAATTATTCAACTTGATGGTGAGTGAATTTATTTTTTTTTATTAATGCATTTTTGCTCGCAACAATAAAATAAGTGACATTATGTGTGGAATTTCCTTATATTGCAAATTTCTTTAACGGGTTTCATATCAATTGTTTGCAATTTTCTTTGCCACCGTATCTAAAGAATAGAGAGAGATGGAGAAAAAGAGTGGGAGTGAGGAGGATAAGGGAAAGGTATGCAAAAGGTGCAAGGAAAGCTACAGAGCCTCCTCTAACACCTCTCTCTCATGCCGCTTCCACCCTTCTTTCTTCGTCTGTCGCCGTCACGACGACCAGAAAAGGTACAGCTCTGACCCCTCTCTCCCCCCCTTTCCAATGAGTTCTTTTTTACAGTAATTAATTTCGTTGAGTTTCGATCTTTGATTAGTGCAGTGGATGGTTGGAGTGAGAAATTTTGTCTTTGTTTAACTAACTAGTGGATGCCAATTTGCATAATCTGTGTTTCTGATTCATGTGGGTTTACCTACTTTCTTCCCCCTTTGGATTTGGATTTGGATTTCGATTTGGATTTCGATTTCGATTTCGGGTTGCATATCACAATTCACGGACAGGAATCAGGAGTTTAGGATGGGGTGTGGGTGTGCGATAGCATATATTCTCATACTCAAGTTATTCTTCTTGGGCTTGAAGATTCAATGGATAATAGATCGGATGAAAAGGATTGATCAAGTGAAAGTGTATATGTCCCATTGTTGTTTGTCTCTTTCATGAACTAGTTATGGAAAACTGTGAATGTTTTCCAGTCGACTAGAAATATTGGGAGAGAGAGCTTGGTCTGCAATAACTATGCTTCTAGCTTTCCTTACTGGGTCGATGTTTTATTATTCTTGATTGGATTGAAGGTACTATGAATTGGGACCCAACGATCCGCCATACGCTGCCAAGTTCTACGACTGTTGTGGGGCTGAGGATCCTGAGGCATCCGGCTGCACTACCAGTTTCCATGTTTCGTACGATGAGGATTGATTTAAGTTTCATCATTTCATTCAGTCTTGCTCTTGCACTCTAGCCAAGTTGTAGATATCATTCTGTATCTCCAATAATGTCCTCTCTTTTATATGAAAATGAAGTTGATGCAAAATTCTGAACGTTTGTTTCTTGAAGTGATGGTTTGTATATGTAGTTTAGCTTGCTACAATTCGGATAAAGTCAGAAGAAAAACAAAGTTATGTAAAGAAAATAAAGGAGGAGACGCGACGACGGGGAATTGTATTTTTCTAATAAAGACTAATGGTAATATATCATGAAGATTTGATTCCATTTTCCACCCCCATGAGACCCATGACCCATGACCCATATTAATTCTCGTATGGTGGGTCGATGTGGGTGACATATATATTCACAGTTGTTTTGGCGTTGTAATTAGTTTGTATGATAGGTTTACTAATTGTAATTGGATCTTGTTTCTTTTTTGGATTCCTTTTAATGAATAACTTATTGCACTATTATTTTTTTTTAAATTAAAGGCCAAATGGGTTGTGGTTGTCAGCCTGGAGCTGGAGCTTTACAGAGCAGCTCAAAATTAATATTTCATTCATATATGTGAATGTACGTATGTATGTATCTATCTATCTACTATATATAAAGAGAACACAAAAGCTGAATAGTGTTTTGGTGTCATTATGCTTTACCAAAAAATCAATTGGACAAAAATGTCCCTAAAACAATAAACTTCAAAGGTATCCCAAAATTATGCATCAAAAAAGGCAAGGGTATTTTTGTCAATTTAATAGTATTTTTTTTTAATCATTAATGATTTTGTGTTTTTTTTAAATTAGTATCTCACAATAGGCTAGCAACACGTTCAAAATATATTAAAAGGCATGTAATGCCGGTTATAAATTTGCACGCATATAATAATGTGATTAAATTAGTTGTCGAATGATTTTTTTTTGTAACAAGCGATATTATATATACTAAAGGGAAAGGAGGTGAGTTTAATCTCATAATGGGCTAGCAATATTATGATTCAATTAGTTGTTTATTAAATATTATTCTCTCTATTTTAAACACATTCAAAACATCTTAAGAGACCTGTAAATTGTAATGCCTGTTATAAAAAAGTCTTTCGCACGCGGATAATAATGTGATTAAATTAGTTGTCAAATGATTTTTTTTAACAAACGATATTATCTCCACTAAGGGAGAGAGGGTGGGCTTTGTCTCACAATGGGCTAACATTAATGTGATTTAACCAATTGTTTATTAAATATTATTTTCTCTATTTTTAATGTAAATTCTATAAAGACTGATTTTATTATGTGAATTCAGTTGATTTAATTAGTTTATGAGGGGTTTTTTTTAGCATGATTTAAGATTATTCAGTTACTTCAAATATTCGACTTTTCTTCTAACATGATTTAAAACGTATAAGTCGCACGTAACATGTCGTAATTCAAAAAATGTCTTATGCACGTGCGTGCATGAAGGCTAGTCTATTTTATTAAGAGAAGAGCCATTGTCAACTTTTTCCCCATTTTTTTCAATTTTACCCTTACTTTTCAATACACAATATTGACATGAGGAAGGCAAAATAGTAATTTTGTACCTTTTGACTAAATGACAATCATATCCCTATTTTTTAGATAATGACAATCATATTTTTTCAATTTTACCCTCACTTTTGATACACAATATTTACATAATGAGGACAAAATAATAATTATGTAATATAAAAAAATGCACTTATTAAGAAAAATGGAACTTTAACAAAAAGTTTCATGTACTGTTCACTTTAACGAAAAACCATATTTTTACACTAAAAAGGCAATCATGGTACTATTCGCTTTACCTTTTATTTTGTCCATATTGTTAAAACTCAAAGTTTTCAAGCTATTTTCATTAGTTTTCCTTAAGATAAATTATTCACACATACACAAAATATGTGCTCTCTGCTAGTGTATATTAATTAAACATCGTTTTCCACCCAAAGAAAACATATATAACTCAAGGAAAGATATAGTTTCCCAAAAAAAAAAAAGCTGAAGGAAAGATATTAGAAACAGAGAGGATTCTTTCTTCTCTTTTTCTTTTTGATGCTTTTCTCTTCCCAGAGAGAGAGAGAGAGAGAGAGAGAGAGAGAGGAGTATAGCATGGATAGAGGTATGAATTTGCTCTCTTTTAATTTCCCTTTCATTGTCTGAGTTGTGAGGTGAATGATTGGTTTGTTGGAAACATAAATCATGAAACATATTTGAAACATGAAACATGGCATATAGTAGGAGGATGCCGATATTTTAACGCCTTTCTTCCTTCCTTGTCCTGCCTGCGGCCCCACCTTCAACCCTCCAGAGAAGGATGATGATTCTTTTCGGATCCTCTTTATAGTGATCTCAGAGATCTTCACATCCTAATCATTTATTATATATCGTACGGTCAATTTTCGTTAGTTACTATTTGTGTTTAATTTTAAATAATTGAATTCAAATTATTTTTTATCGTATAATATACGATAAATGGTTAAAATGTAAAGAGGCCTAGGATCCTCAAAATTTGAGTTCGGATGGCATTCAAATCCTCCAGAGATATCCCTTCGTCAAACTCCCTCCCTCTTGTTAAAATTAAAAAAACAAAATAAAACACCGTGGTGATGACCCATTCATTGTCATGTGGATGTGGAGTGGAGCGGATGGCATCCAATTAATTATATAGTATTGTATATAATTAATTGTAGCTTAAGATTATCTCTAAAAGATATGTCAAATTTTAAACATAAAATTTAAATTTTGACAACTTATATGGTACTTTTACATATTTTAAAGTTTTATTTTTCAACCGATATGTCAAATTAAATTATTATTTTATTATTTTATAAAATAAATTATTAAACTAATTAAAATTTAATAAAAGACGTTTAAAGTTTAATAAGTAATCTGTTCAGCTTCATTGATTGAAAAGAAGAAAAAAATAAGAATACATCGATCAACTCAGCATTAATTATAATAAATTATTAAACTAATTAAAATTTAATAAAATACATTTAATAATTAATAAAAAAAAACATTTGAAGCTGCTGTCAAATTTGACAGCAACCTCTTTTGTTGTCAATCCATGTCATCGTCATATAGGATTTGACACTTCGGTTAGAGAATATTAGTGTGATCTTTTTACTGTTATAGATGATGTGTACATTTTAACATTTCCTTTAAAGATGCTCTAATAGGCTGGCTGGGCATACGGCATAGGGAAAATTGAATTATGATATGATTTTATCGATCGAGTTCGAGAGAGAGGAAGCAAAGCATGAATTATTGATTATTCATGATCATGATTGTCCCTCCCACTTCATCCGTTAATTAAATGACGACCCCTTGCAATTTTCCATTCTCTTTTCTTACAAATGATTAAGATCCGACCCCGACTCCGATCCACATATGATCCACATAACATTGCCTACCAGTACCTTCTTCAATTCCTTATTAGCGGTTTACTAGTTGTACATATTTCACGCTAGCTCAATCCACCATGTTATTCTAATCAATCTACAAGAAATAATACTACTCGTATCTTTATTAATATATATATAGACGAAGGAAGGAAGGCATACACATTACACATACAAGAAGCTGGTATTTGACACTAGCTTGGTAGCTAGGTTAAATTGTTACTTAATTTTCCAACTAATACAACGTTTCGCCATTTCATTATATTATATATTTTACTTGTAATAGAAATAGTATGAAGTGAAATTCTTTACTCTAGTGACTAAATAGTATGAAGTGAAATTCTTTACTCTAGTGACTAGTCTACCAGGCAATATGCATGCATGGAAAAAAAGCTATATTATATCTTATCTTTACAATTGTTATCTTTCTTCAAATCATAACATGTCCTAGGTTTTGTTTTTTACCTTTTACTTTTACACATACAATAGTACCTACATCGATCAAACTAACTACATATATACATATGTGTGCGCTCGACATCTAAAATGGAAGGCATGCATGCATGCACATCTAAGAGTAACTAAATCGAGCAAGTTTTAACTAATTTATTAATATTATAATTATTTGTGTACATGTTTTCAACCTTTCTACTAACTCCCAAACCATTGCCACATCCCAGTCTCATGTCACATATCAGTTCCGGTTCCGCCGTAACACGATATTATCTGTTTTAAGTTTCGGCCACGTCCTCATGATTTTTTTTCTTCTGAAAACTCACACGAGAACTTCCCAGTGGATCACCCATCCTGTGAATGCTCTCGTTCGAACTCGCTTAACTTCGGAGTTCCGATAGAATCCGAAACCAGTGAGTTTCCAAAATGCCTTGTGCTATAGGGAGGGGAGCATGTACATATAAGACATATCACCTCCTATCCATATGTTGATGTGAGATCTTACAATCCACATCACCCTCTCTTCGTTGGTTGATGTGAGATCTTACAATCCACCCCACTTCAGGGGAACCCAACGTTCTCGTCAGCACATCCGTACCGAATTGTAGAGTGGCTCTGATACCATTCTATCACATCTCAGTCTCGACTCGGCCGTAGCACTATATTGTCCGCTTTGGACTCATACGAGAACTTCCCAGTAGGTCACCTATTATGGGACCATTCTTGCCTGAACTCGCTTAACTTCGGAGTTCTGACGGAACCCGAAACCAGTGAGTTCCTAAAAGGCCTCGTGCTATAAGGAGGAGAGCATGTACATATAAAGCACATCACCCACTCTTTGTTGATCGATGTGAGTTGTTACAACCATAATGTTATGATGATATTTTACGTTAAACTGTAAAATGACAAAAGATTCATGAAGAATCTCATTTTAAAAGAGTCTTCTTGGCATTTTTCAAGTGAAAATGTCAACTTTCACCCAACTAATACAACCTAATCATAATTGCTTCATTTCCAATCTAAAGTAATTTGCCTCAACTACAAGGAAAAATGAACGTTTTGTTGGTCGGTTTGCTAGTCGGCTTCCCACCTTACAAAACCCAAAAGGTGTTTCCTTTATCCCTACCTTTTTTTGTTTACTCCATCATCCATGTAAACTGTAAAGCACTGCAAGTAATTGGCACACTATCGCTGGTGTGCGACGTTGAGGAAATTTCGTATGGCTGAATTAATGAGTAAAGATACTAGAAGAAGCTCACTCTTAAAATGATATTGTCTCAACATTCAAAATGATATTGTCTCAACATTCAAGTAATTAAAACATATCCTAACCATTATCTCTTAATTCAACCTAAATATGTTGACACTTGCATTAATAAATGATGTAGTTTGAGTATATATCCAAATCAACGTCCATGTAAATTACGAAA